AAGCCAATCATCAACTCCTTCTTTAAACTCCTCAAGTGTATTTTATGCATAATTTTTTGTTTTCTTTTTTTTTAAAAAAAGTTAGTTTTCATTTCAAAATTCTTTAATAAATAATGTAGAGCATACCTGAAGTTTATTTTCGGTTTCTTTCGTTAAATTTTGAGCTAATTCAAATTGCTTACTTTCCTTTTCTTTAAAATTTCATGCATTTTGGTTATATCATAATGGTCCAGTAACTTATAATTTAACTCCTTTACCTTTTGTTTATTATTATACTCGTGCTTTAGCACATCCTTATATTCGTTTTCATAACCTTTTGCAATTTTCATCAGCTTACAAATTTGATTTTTGTAATTTTCCATATTAAGTCGTGGAACAAAAATAAATTCACTTTTCTCTCTTTCAATGAAGGCATTAAGATGGTCAAGCATTCTTAATGCACGATAATATAATTTTTTTGTCATTTCAAATTCTTTTTCTTCTTTATCTTTCAATTGTTCATTTATTTTAATAATCCATGTGAGAATTGAACGTGTAACTTTGCGATTGTCATAAAATAGCGCGACTGCAATTTGTAGAGAAAATCGTAATATTTTAGAGAACGGCTTTTTTTGAAGAATTATACAAGCGAAATCAGGTATATCTTTAAATTCACCACTATGTAAAGAAATCAATCCACCAATGTTTGGACTATTAATTTTAAATGTTAGTGGATTCTTATCTTCGTTTTTAATAATAAGTTCTGATAACATCTCCATAGTATATATTAATAATTGAAAATAACCTTGTTTATTTCAAATAACCTTGCAACTATTAGAATAATGCCATGACTTCCCAACATTTAAATTTCTAGATTATCCGAAAATTGAACTACATCACCATAAATACGAATAACTTGTGCATTAATTTCATTCTTAGGATTTTTAAACAATTCATTAAGATCAATGACCAAATCACTTTCAAAAATCTATTTAAATAAAAAAAATTTAAACTTTGACTCATCAGATAAAGGACTGCATAAATATATATATTTACAACACCTGTACATCTGCCTGTAGTTCTGTTTGTAACGGTGATGGTTCTGGATCGAATCTTATATTAAAATGAGCTCATATAATTTTTTCCAAGAACCAATATTTTTATTTGATTCTAATTCTAATTTTTTAGACATTTTTGCCTTTTAGGTGTTCAAAAAATTTTTAAATTATATGTATATAAATGTGCACGTACATATATATATATATATCGATATATAAAATTATTTACAAATAAAACTATATAGATACGCTAGATACGCACATAATCAATTTTGTTAAGGTATCAAATGTCACATGTTTCTTTGGTGTAAACTTCTGAAAAAGAAATCGTAAACAAATAGCAAATTGAAGAAAATATTTAATCATCTTAAAAATTATCCCAGATACTTATTTTCATGTCTTCTTGTAAACCGTCAATGGTGTAGAATTATTGTTCCAATATTATGGAGTGAACCATTCGTCAGGGCTAATTTTTTTTGTACCCCAAAATTTAAGGGGTACTAACCGACTAGTTGGGGTTAGATTGTTATTT